TGTTTCTGACTTTCCTGTCGCACCAATAATTCTCACAGTATCATATCCTAACTCATGTTTCTTTGTGTTCAAAACCGAATAGGTGGCCCCTGTATTGACTAAATACTCTATTTCAGTTTCATCTTCCCCCAGCTTAATTTTAACCAGAGGTTCTGCTGGGGAAGATCCCTCCGGTCTTTTTCAGTCTCTTGCCTCTACAGCTAACACAGGAGTGTCTTGTTCCCCAAATTTCTGCAAAAATGGGCAGTCTCGTTTCCAGTGTCCCTTTCTTTTACAATAAACACACTGTCTCTCTCCTATTGGGAACCTTGGGAATCCTCTACCACGTCCTCTTCCTCGATAACCGCCTCTAAATCCTCCCCTGGGTCCTTCTCGAGGTCCATAAGTTCCTCCTAGTACCGCAATCAGTTTAGCATTTCCTTTTTCTTTCTGCTGATCTCTGTTCCTATAAACCACCCAAGCCACATCCAACAATTTTCCTGGGTTCCTGGCATCTGCCCCTTGTAATTTCTGCAGCTTTCTTCGGATATCATCAGCAGACTGCCCGATAAATAAAGTTGCTAACTGATTCTTTCCTTCCTCTGATTCAGGATCCAGAGTGGTATACTTCCGAGTAGCTTCTTTCAATTTGTTTAGGAAATCAGTGGGAGACTCCTTTCTATCCTGCTTAATCTCATATAATTTTGACCAATTTATTGCTTTTGGTATAGCATTTCTTATACCATACAGGACCCACCTCTGATACTGCGTTAATAACAATTTCTGCCCATTATCATTAGGGTCCCAGCCAGGATCTGCCGAGGGAAAATTATGCTCCAACTGTCCTTGTAATGTTCCTGCCGCTATTTGGGCTTCAACCTGAGTCTTTGCCGTCTTACGAATCATCTCCCTCTCTGTACTATCAAACAATACTTGCATGATAACTTCAATATCTTTCCAATCTGGATCCTGGGTTCTTATCATCATTTCAAAAGTATTAGCCACTCGATCAGAATCATCCCTATAACTACCGGCAGCTATTTTCCAATTATTTAGATCTACAATTGAAAAAGGCACTTTCACGATAACCGGACCATCGTTCCCTACTGCTTCTCTCAACGGAGCTTGCAGTGCGGTTCCCTGTCGGTTACGAGTTCTCCTTGCCATCGGCGTGGCCCCTGCAGCGTCTCTCTCGGGTTCATCGTTCAATCCACCCTCTGCCCCTAAGGGTTCAGGATTCTGAGGCCTCTGCCTCAACCCTGGAGCCACTAACATCTCTAAATCCTCTTCCTGCTCATTCTGGGTCAACTTCAAACATCTCTGTCCAATACTGCATGCTGAACAACACCTCTTTAACCCTTTCCCTTTTTCTCTCTGCTGCTTCTCCTTTTCCAATGCCAATACCAGAGGAT